GCACTCTACCCAGGGGGACAGCTTGAGACTCTGTCTCAAAGAAAAAAAAAAAAAAAAGAAGCTCCGGTCCTCTGCGTCCTGTGACGGCCCACTAGCCACCATCCAGAGCACGCCAAGGGGACTCTGCTTTGGCCACATCACATAAAGTGTATATTAATGAAACACATTCTGTTTCCACGTTCCTACATAATTTCCGCAATCGCCCTTTGGCCCAGCAGCCTGGAGTCCCCTTCGGTTTCCTTATCATTATTCCTCCTCATTCTCTTTTTAAAATGCTGATAGAGATGATTCTGACAGGAGCATCTTTTTCCAATATTCTATTAACTTATTTAATACTATTCATATTAAGTATAATTAGAGATAATAAAATTGGATTTCTTTAAAAGCCTCTAGTTTTTCCTCTTTCCCCCAAATGGACAATCCGTCCCAATGCTTAAGAAATGACCCAGCAGAAACCTCCCAGATCCAGGCCACAGCTCAACTTGATTTCCCAAACTCCTGATTTCCAGGGACCAATGTCGGAGGATTTTTTTTCCCTCCTTGGTGCAGAGGGAAAGCTTCTAGTGTGGGGCTTGGCAGACCGACTTGTGCACTGGCAACATACCAACCTGTTTCTTATCAACATGTCTAAGATTTGCTCCTGGGAGACTCTGGCAGGGTCCAGAGAGCAGAAGGGTTATAAAGGCAGGAGGGGTCAGGGGAGAAACAGTGGGTCCTGCAGGTGGCCAGCACACAGCAGGACTAAGGTGTCCCTTGGGAGGGAGCTCACACCTGTTCTCCCACCTGAACAAGGATGGAGAACAAAGAGGCCGGAGCCCCTCTGCCTGTCCCACCCAGGGAGGGGGTAAGTGCCAAGTCTAGGAAACTGTCACTGTCCCTGTCCCTTTTCCTCCAGGGGTGGAGGGAGGTGAAGACTCCAAGGTGCTTCTAGCAAGGAGGGAGCAGGGCCCCCTGGGAGAGCAGTGCAGGGAAGCAGCTATCCTCAAACCCCATGGCTCAGACACTAACCCCATAGCTTAGTAAATGAGGAGGCTGGACGGCACTGGAGACACACCTCCCTCTGCCCCTCCAAGTTCCCCCGTCTGAAAGGGCCCAGGAGAGTCAACCTATGAACGATGATGCCCGAATCCTTCTCGGGCTAGAACAGGGTGTGCTGGATGCGGGGCTGTGGGCCGTCGGGGAGCTGATACTATGGAGACTCTCTGAGAGGCAGCCACAGAGCCCACCCAGCCCCCTCCTCACGCTCTGGCTCTGGGGCCAGTTCCCCCAGAGCTGCCCAGGGTGTCGTGGCGCCCCTGGCAGCTCCTGTCCGTGAGCTTAGCCTTGTTTTTTCTAAGGGCTGTTCTAGAGCCAGAGGCAAGCAATGGGTCCTCCGGAGCTCTGCTTGGTGCCCTCTTGTCTAGAATGCTCCCCCAGAGCACACACGGGTGCACCCCCACCACTCAGGGCTCAGCTCCAAGGGTCCCTTCTCAGAGAGGCCTCCCTGCCCACCCTACTGAGCACAGCCACACACCCACCTGCCTGGCCCTCCCCATCACCCTGTCTCCTTGTCCTCACGCTTTCTTATTCTTTGGAATCATCACATTTGTCTTTTTCTCTGACCTCCTCTCACCTTCCCAAGGGTAGCACCTTGCTGGGCCTTTCCCCTACCGCACCCCCTACCCCATACCCCAAAGCCAGGGCCCAGGGTAAGGCCAGGCCCACAGAGCCTACTCAGACGGTCTTCCAGGAGACACAAGAGAGGATGCCGTCCAGCCCCAGGGGCCTCAGAGCCCTGGCACCCCAGCTTCAGGCCGTCTTCCCTACCCAGCCACCTCCCTCTCCTCCCCTGGGCACAACAAGGCTCCCCACCCCCTTCCAGGCCGAGGTGGCCCCACAGTGTGCCAACCTGGGCCTTCACCTCCCACAGCGGCTCCAGCCCACACTGGTGCTGGCGACCCTGAGCGCCGCCTTCGGCTCGGCCTTCCAGTACGGCTACAACATCGCAGTGGTCAACACACCACACAAGGTGGGCACAAGGCAGGCTGCTGGGCAGCTGGGCAGGGCCCTAGGGGTGGGAGGCAGCTGCCACCTTCCCCTGAGGAGGCCGTCACCTTCCCCTGGCCTCCCGGGTGCCCTTCTCTGGGACCAGGGTATGACTGGAGGTGCTGCTCCCAGGAATCCTTGGGACTCCCTGCCCAGTACCTTTGATCCTCAGCCCCACTGCTCTCACCCTGGGAAGGCCCCTCATAGTTATCAAAGAGAATGGGGTCAAAGGTTGAACGCTGTGACATTTGGGATTGCGACTGGAGATGGGAGAGCAAAGGGGAAAAAGGAGATGCTCTTGTCAGGCGGGGAGGACCCGAGGGCAGAGCGTCCCACGGCCCAGTAAGGGATGGTCAAGGGAGGGACATGGCGGGGCCAGCCGTGCTGATGAGTCCAGGAAAGGACTAGACTTGAGATCAGGATTTCAGGACAAGCCTGAGCAAAAGAGAGACCCCCGTCTCTACTAAAAATAAAAAAATTTGCCAGGCATGTGACAGGCACCTGTAGTCCCAGCTACTTGGGAGGGGAGGGCAAGAGGATTGCTTAAGCCCAAGTGTTTGAGGTTGCTGTGAGCTATGATGACGCCACTGTACTCCAGGCCAGGCAACACAGAGTGAGACGATGTCTCAAAAACAAAAAAACAAAAAACAATGCCTAGTGGAGAGGGGTGAGGGGGTCACATTAGGTCTTCCTAGGGTAGGATTTCTAGGGTGGGAGCTGGGTTTTGCACTCATGGGAAGGAGGAGCAGAGAGGGGAAGACCAGGGACGCAGGACAGATGGGGACAACTCTAGGGAGGATGTCATTGAAGAGGCAGAAGGGACAGGATCCAGCCTGGGGGGGAGAGGGGAGGCTGAGTGGTCATTCACATGAGTATGTGAGTTCTGCTGTATTTTCAAAAATCAGTGTCATTATCTTATAGCTAATGCATTATAGGAGGTATGCAGTATTGCAGATTGCAGATGGCACGTGCTAACATATACACACAATGACATGTATAAGTGTATGTATTACACGTATACATAAATTAGTGTATTCATAATTGTTACTATTGATGGAATATCTTTTCTGAGACAAGAAATGAGCTATCACTTTATCACATTTAATGCTCACAAATTCTCTATGAGGTGTATTTCTATAACTGATGAGGAAATTAAGGCATTAGAGGTCACATGACTTGCCTTAAGCCATACAATTAGTAAGAATATTTTCTATATTGCCTCTGATGAAAACTCTAAAAAGTGAACTCTTTTTACTTTTTAATTTAATTTAAGACAGAGTCTCACTTTGTCACCCTGGTTAGAGTGCTGTGGCATTATAGCTCACAAAAACCTCAAACTCTTGGGCTCAAGAAGAACCTCCTTCCCAAGTAGCTGGGACTACAGGCTTCCACCAAAACACCGGCTAGTTTTTTTCTATTTTAGTAGAGACGGGGCCTCTCTCTTGCTTTCACTGGTCTTGAACTCCTGAGCTGAAGCAATCCTCCTGCCTTGGCCTCCCAGAGTGCTAGGATTACAGGCGTGAGTCACCGTGCCCAGCCTAACGGCGGATTTTTAACAATTTGTCTTGTGCCGTGTGGCTCCTCAGCTCAACCTGCCATACAGTAGATTCCTTTACCCTCAGGTAACAGCAGGAAATTTAGCAAATGCAATCGTGTCCCAGAGGTATTGGCAGAAATAGCCTCGCACAATGCCAAGTGCAATGCCAAGTGTCCCCTGAGAGCAGGCAGTCATCATTTCCTATGAGTTGCACAAGATTCCTGGGTGTGGATGGGACAATGTTTTCCAGGTATTGAAGTCATTCTACAATGAAACCTACTTCGAGCGACACGCCACCTTCATGGACGAGCAGGTCATGCTGCTCCTGTGGTCTTGCACCGTATCCATGTTTCCCCTGGGAGGCTTGCTGGGGTCCCTGATGGTCAGCCTGCTGGTTGACAGGTGTGGCAGGTAAACGGAAGGTGCGCTGCTCCCACGTGGAATTCACAGTAGTAAGCCTCACTGTCTCTCGGCCACTGTGCCCCTGGAGGGGAGATGATGCGACCCTGAAAATCAAGTCTGAAATCTAGCCTCCACTTTGTCACAGACATCATGACCTTAAACCCAGTCCCTGGCTTTCTCTAGGATTTCTTTCCTAGGCAGTTGCAGGGCAGAAGCATTCCCTCCCATCACCCACTGCAGAGGCTGGGTGGCCTTGATCTCAAAGGTCCTACTTAGCCCAGCGCCTGCAAGTGCCTCCAGCAGGTGTCTGATAAGTGCTTGTTGACCGGCTTCCACTGGGGTCAGGTGACCGTGGCTCCCAGGTCCAGCACCTGCAGCCCCTCCCTGCGCCAACCCATCAGGCTTTTTGCCACTGGGGTTTGGGGTCTGCCTGAGTCACTCTACTGGCCACCACCTCGTATCTACTTTGGAGACGGAGACTAGGTAGGTCTCTGTACTTTGCCTGCCTTCCACAGATGCATTAATCTCTCCGCCTAAGCCCAGGTGCTGCCAAGACGTGACTCCCCAGATAAGGAAAGATGAACAGGTCAAGGTCCCCAGGAAGGAAGAGTGTGAGCCAAGGCCTCGGGGGGAGGTGGGGTGGCCTGGCATAGGTCAGCCCCACTTGCTTGCAATTCACGGTGACTCTGGACCTGTGCCAAGTTAGGCGGTTTGCAGGAGTGAGCGGAAAGGCCTCTGAGGAAAACTAACTCAAGAAACCTCAGCAACTCAGTCTTCAGGCAAAAGGGAAATAGTGCAGATGTCAATGTTAATCGTGGGCTTGTTACTGCAGGCTTCACGGGGCCTCTTCCTGTGAGGACTTGATTAACAACTTGCCATACCTGTGCATTTGAAGGAAACATTCAATGCACCGTAATTGTGCCATAAATCGGGTGTTTTCTGCCAGCTGCTCTGGTGTTCTCAGCTGACAGAGAGTGATGGGATTATTCTAGAAACCCAGCCTTGGCCTCCACTTCCTTTCCTGAACCCCACAGTCCCAGAACCTTGGGGCTCATCTCCTCACCACCCCCATTTTGCAGATGAGAAGACTGAGCTGAGGGATGTGGTGGAGGGTCCCAGCCCCAGCCCCACCCCCCACCCCCAGGCTGACTGACCTCCTGGTCATGGGAATAGCTGGGGGTCTGGAGGAGGGTGGGAACCCGTGGAAGCTGCTTATTCTCCCACCAGCTGACCCCAGCTCTGCGTGTTCCTGCTCTGGCCGCTGCTCTCTGGGGTGTGGCACCCCCAGGAGACAAAAGTGGTCTGAGAAAACCCGTGTGCATGTCTGTGGATTCCCTGTGGGTCCTCAGTGCTGCCGAGCCAGGGGTAATTTCCTAGAGATCCCATCTCTCCCTCTACTTGGCTTCAGAGCCCTGCTCACTGGGGTTCCTCTAGGTATGGGGGAGTCACAAAGGTAGAGCCTGGGGCTGCTGACAGCTTTAGCACCTCCTGACCTGAATGAGGGGGAGAGAGAAGGAGGGAGGGAGTGGGGAGAGGGAAAGAGAGAGACAAGGAAGGAGGGAGAGAGAGAAAGAAAGAGGGAGGGAGGGAAGGAAAGGAGGGAGAGATAGTGAAAGAGGAAGGGAGGAAGATAGAGGAGGGAGGAAGGGAGAGAGAGAGTGAGAGAGAAAGAAAACACCAGACCAGGCCAACAGCAACCCCACAGCTGGGGAGCCCTCTGCCTCCCCATCCACTCCCAAGCCAAAGGCAAGGAGGCAGCAGGGGCAGGGGAGCCTTGTAGCCAGCCTAGAGCAGAGTCAGGAGACACTATGGGTCTCCGACGCACCCAATGTAGTGCTGTTTTTCAGACATTCCCTCCCTTCCTCTCAGAAGCTAGTGGTTTTTCAGCCTTGGACAGGACCTTGGACATCACCTAGTCCAGCTCTGCACCCCCCCTGCTGTGGGAATCCAGTTTAACATTCCTGCCCATCATCGAGTCTGGGCTCCAATGCCCCCAGTGGTGGGGAGATCACCACCTCGGAGACGGCCCATTCCTTTTTCCTTCCCTGCCATTTCTCAGGCAGCTGCAATTGTTAGGAGGATCCCGCACTACCCCACTCCCACTGCCCCCACATCTTCCTTCCAGAGCGCCCATTTTTTTCTTGCTCCCCTGTTCATTCTTCCCATCTGTCTTAGCTCAGGCTGTGATAACGAAGCCCCAGACAGGTGGCTTCAACTACAGACCTTTATTTCTCCCAGTCTGGAGGCCAGAGATTCAAGAACGAGGTGCCAACACATTTAGTTCCTGGTGAGGGTCCACCTTCAGGCTTATGGATGGCCTTCTGCCTGCTGTGTCCTCACAGGGCACAAAGGGAGAGAGATTTGGGGCATATCTCTTCTTATCAGGGCACTAATCCCACCAGGAGGGCATCCCCCCTCGTGACCTAATCAATCACCTCCCCGGGGCCCCACCTCCTGATGCCACCACCCTAGGGTTAAGGGCTTCAACTTATGAATCCAGTGAGCACAGTCCAGCCCACAGCCCTGTCCAGCAGCCCTTCCTTGGTCACACTCCCAGCCCCTTTGTAATGACCAGCCTGGAATATGTTCAGAGAACCTCAGCGTCACCCCCTGACCTCTGGGCTGCTGTCTTTGCAGAAAGGGGGCCCTGCTGGTCAACAACATCTTCGCCATCATCCCTGCCATCCTGATGGGAGCCAGCAAAGTGGCCAAGGCTTTTGAGCTGATCATCTTTTCCCGAGTGGTGCTGGGAGTCTGTGCAGGTAGCCGGCTCAGGTTCACCTTGGGGGAAGGGGTTCTTCGGCCAGAGTCTGGCAGGCGATGTCTGCCTCTTTGTCCTTCCCAGGCCCTCATGGACCTTCTGCTTTTTGGCCCTTCCCTTTACTTAGCAAAATCTTCTACCAAGGAAGAATCTTTTAAAAACACACTTTTACCTTTTGGTAAATAACTTACAAGGTTTTATAAGATATCTTTCAAAGAAGATGTAGAGTTTCAACTGAGGAGAGGGGGCTGTGAGCCAAAGGAAAATAGAATTCAGGGTCTCTGGCAGCAGCTGTGGGAGCTTTCTTAACTATAGCGGTCTCTTTTCTTTCTTTTTTTTTTTTTCTTTTGAGAGAGAGTGTCACTTTGTCACCCTTGGTAGTGTGCCGTGGGTCATAGCTCATAGCAACCTCAAACTCTTGGGCTCAAGCAATCCTCTTGCCTCAGCCTCCTGACTAGTTGGGACTACAGGTGCCGGCCATAACGCTCAGTTAATTTTTCTATTTTTAGTAGACATGGGGTCTTGCTCTTGCTCAGGCTGGTCTCAAACTCCTGAGCTCAAGCAATCCACATACCTCAGCCTCCCAAAATGCTAGGATTACAGTCACTACACCTGGCAATCGCAGTTTTTTCTATTTAAAAAAAGTTACACAAGTAATCTGTGCTTTAGAAAAATCAGAAAATAAACAGAAGCAGTAAAGTTACCTTCATGTCCCACTACCCAGGGACACCTACAGGCTTAGTCTCCCCCCACCCCCACTTTCCCCTCGTAGAAGGGCCCAACCCAGCAGCTAGAAAAGAAAAGCTGTCCTCATCTCACCCCCGTGATCCTCCCCAGGGTGGGGGCTGGGGGTTCTGGAGGGATTTTGTTACTAAACATCAAGATTGGCCTGTTCCCATCTCCACAGAGGGGCAGACAGTGTGGAGAAACTCAAGGGTTACGACACAGGATTTAATGAAACCCCAGGCCCCCATGTCATGGGAGGCTGGTCCACTTTTCACCTCCCCTGATCTCCTGGACCAGGCATCTCCTACAGTGCCCTTCCCATGTACCTGGGAGAACTGGCTCCCAAGAACCTACGGGGCACAGTCGGAACAATGACCGAGGTTTTCGTCATCTTTGGAGTCTTCCTAGCACAGATCTTCAGCCTCCAGGACATCCTGGGCAATCCTACAGGTAACCAGCAGCACACGGAGGTCAGAGGGGAGCCAGGGCCAGGGCACACTGGGGCCGGGCATTGGCTCAGCTGGGCCTGACCTTACTGATAGATCAGATGGAGTCTGACAGGTGACCTTTAGGCTGGGCCACATACAGATAGGTGGACATGGGTGACCTTGATGAGGGCTGTTCTGGTCAGTGATGGGGACACGTTGTGCTTGGGAACAAGTTCAAGGCAAGGACTTAGAGACAAGCAGTGTAGACGACCCTTAGGAGTTTACAACATACAGGAGGTGGGTGGTAGCTAGAAGGGGAAGGGGGGTCAGAGAAGCTGGGAAAGATCTCAGCATATTTGGCTACTGTAGGAATGATCCCCGGGGAGGGAAATCAATGCAGGGGTGAGCAGGGGTGTGGCCACCATCAGTGCAGCCATTCTCTTCTGGTGGCTTCTGTTTTCTCAGTGGTGAGGTGGTTGTCTGAGAGTGAGGGTTGGGGACATGGTAGAGGTTTAGGAGAGAGGAGAGAGTGTGAGATGGTCATCACATAGGGCTGAGTAAAATGAAGGAATGGGCTGGACATAGGCCAGTATGAAAGGCCCCTGAACACAGTGAGGGGTTTTTATACACATTTTCAAATGACCCCATGGGTCTATGTCTTTGTGACTCCCACACAGCACCCTGAAGAGACTCAGGGACACAGAAGCTGGCGGGTGCTCCATGAAAACTCATTAGTAATGATGTCCCCAGCTGGCCCAGGGCAGCTGAACATCCAGCACGCTGAGAGAGGTGTCAGCCACCTGGCACCGATGCTTAGCGCGTGGCACCTCCTTCACCCTCAACATGACGCCCTTTCCGTGCCGAATACTTTATATTAGTCTTGTCTTCATTTTACTCATGAGAAAACTGAGGCTCAGACAGTCTGAGCAACTGTCCAATCCCACTACCAGCAGGGTCTGTTCTCTCCCCGGGGTCTTAGGGCCGTCCCCTCAGCCCAGCCTTTGGGAAGGAGATGGCATAGCACATGCAGCCCTCGGTCACGCAGAAGTCATGTCCATTCCAGCCACACAATCAGGAACAAGATGTATCTTCATTTTCTCTAGGGCTCAAGCTTTTTTTTTTTTATGAGACAGAGTCTCAAGCTGTCACCCTGGGTAGAGTACTGTGGCTTCACAGCTCACAGCAACCTCAAACTCTTGGGCTCAAGTGATTTTCTTGCCTCAGCCTCCGAAGTAGCTGGGACTACAGCTGCCTGGCTATTTTCTTGTTGCTGTTGTCATTGCTGTTTAGCAGGCTGGGGCTGGGATGGAACCTGTCAGCCCCAGTGTATGTGGCTGGCACTGTAACCACTGTGCTGCAGGTGCCCAGCCAGGCTCAAGCTTTTCAATCATATCCTATTCCTAAGAAAAGCAGAGCTTTTCCTGCAAAAAATTAAAAACATGTATTTGTTTGATTGTAATTATTTTCTCTATTTTGCATGTGGAACCCCTTTGCTGGTGGCTCCTTGGTTCTACCCAAGGGCAAGAATGCCATGGGCCAGTAGTGGGAGCCAGCCAAGGGGTGCCCAGAGCCCCGCCGATCCCTGAGTCCTTGGCGCTGGCTCCTTGCAGGCTGGCCGGTGCTCCTGGCACTCACGGGGGTGCCCGCCCTGATTCAGCTGCTCTCCCTGCCCTTCTTCCCGGAGAGCCCCCGCTATACCCTGATTCAGAAAGGAGATGAAGCCGCAGCACGGCGAGGTATGAACACACAGGCCCCTCCACCCACTGTGGGGCCACCGGGAGGGCCGGGTCAGGGCTCAGGGGTGGGAACTTGAGTGGGGTCTGCAGGGGGTGGGGTGGAGATTGGGCCACAGACAGGTGGAGGGAAGGGGAGGTGAGCCTGCAGTCAGAGTGGCCGCGTCGTCCGGGGAAGCGGGGTCCAGCCCGCAGGGAGACAGGCGGCTGGCTGTGGCGCTGTGCTCCCTGCAGCTCTGCGCTCCCTGCAGCTCTGCGGAGGCTGCGAGGCTGTGCGGACGTGGAGGCCGAGCTGGAGGACATGCGCGCCGAGGCCCAGGAGGAGCGCGCCGAGGGCCGCCTGTCGGTGCTCAACCTCTGCGCCTTCCGGCCGCTGCGCTGGCAGCTGCTCTCCGTCGTGGTGCTCATGGCTGGCCAGCAGCTGTCGGGCATCAACGCGGTACGCGGGGACCTGGCTGGGAGGGGTTTCGAGGGGAGGAACAGACTGAGCAGAGCCAGACCTGACTTGGGGACGTGGCGGCTGCGTTCTCTCCCTACACGCCACCGGCTGTCCTTTTCTCGGACTTTAGAGCTTTGTCTTTGCTTCCCAGTCCCCAAGAGAAAACGCCTGGAGCTAACAGTCCTTTCCCCTCTATGCAAGAGACCCCGAAATTGAGAAGAGCAGAGATCTAGAACCCTTCTCGGGTCCCCAGAGTGGGGGTCAGGAGCTTCCCCCGCCCTGCTGTTAGTGGTATCACTTCCTGTGAACACGTTTAACTGTGAATGAATCTGTGCTGAGTGTGGAGGGGAGGGTGGAGATAGGAGGAAAATGGAGGGTGCCTTCCAGAAACATCGAGATTGGGTAGGTGACTCACTGGTGCCCTAGGGAAGTGCCAGGGAGAGGTGACCTTGGGCCATTAGGGCTCATGGATGTTTAACAAGCCCTCTTTGAAGAGCTGGACAGCCTGAGGGGTAGGGAGGGCCGCCAAATGGGGACAGGATAACATGGCTTTTGGAAGTGCTGCTTGTGCCACCATCCTTGGTGCTTGGCCAGGAGACCAGCTGAATGTGGGGCTGCTTTGGCCCAGAGTAAGAGATGAGAAATCATTCTGTGGGGTCTGAGCTCATAGAACAGCAAAGTGACGGAAGGAAAAGTCTTATTAAATACTGTGTGGTCCGGTTCCCATTTCAAAGATACAGAACCCTAGACCCAAAGGGTTCTGACCCCATCACCTGCTGCTGCCCTCCTTCCTGTCTGAGCTCCTCTCCCCCAGCCCAACCCACCCCACCCCTGCAGGCTTCAGGACTGTTTGCTGGCCAGTGGCCCAGGTCCTCAGGCCTCTCTGCACTGCCCTGGGTTTCTGTTTAGATCAACTACTACGCAGACATCATCTATGTGTCCGCTGGCGTGGAGGCTGCTCACTCCCAGTACATAACTGTGGGTGCTGGCGTGGTCAACATAGTGATGACCGTCATCTCGGTGAGTGACCAGGGGGCATCCTGCCTGCTGGAGGGGCTCTGAGCAGGTGTCCCCAGGCAGACGAGAGTCAGCTGAGTTTTGTCGCCCTGGTCCTGGGGTCACTGGAAGGACATGGACTTTTGGATGACCACCTGTGTGACCTTGACACAGGCAACTCAAAATACTTTCCAGTTTCTTCCTGCACAGAATCGTGATTGCAAATACCTTATATTCTGATGTAGGTGTTATTTTTCGTTGATGCAATACTATTTTTTTCAGGGTTTAATGTTTAAAATCTGGGCCACTTAATCTTTGCTACATATGCCACATTAAAAAGGGTAAATCCACAAAGGTTTGCTAACTCAATAAAGGTGGATGATCATGATATTCCTTTCCCTGGGACGTTTTCTTTTTTCTTTTCTTTTTTTTTGAGACAGAGCCTCCAGCTGTCCCCCTGGGTAGAGTGCCAAGGCATCACAGCTCACAGCAACCTCCAACTCCTGGGCTCAAATGAGTCTCCTGCTTCAGCCTCCCAAGTAGCTGGGACCACAGGCGCCCACCACAACGCCTGGCCATTTTTTGGTTGCAGCCATCATTGTTGTTTGGTGGGCCCGGGCTGGATTTGAACCTGCCACCTTAGGTGGTGTGTGGCTGGCACCTTAGCCGGTTGAGCCACAGGCACTGAGCCTCCCTGGGACATTTCCAAGCTGCCTTCTCCCAGTTTTATTACTATTTTTGATTCCTGTTTCATCAGTTGCCAGTGAGAGTAAATGGTATTTAGGAAATTATCTATTACTGATTTGTGTTTTCCCTGGAGCTAGTTTAAGTCCTAATCAGCTCTTAAAGAGTTTAGAGGATCGGGG